TCGTTAGAATCGTCTTAGTGAGCTGATTCGAATGGTGGTGGTTTCATCGAATTCTGTCCAGTGGTTCAAGAGTTATGTCGTTTTTGTAGGTTAACAGTATATATGTATCAAATAATTTCTCACTGAAGCACTTCAGTGTATACAATATTTTTAGTATATTTAGAAAATTCTGTTGGTCCAAGGAAGATGCGCAACCTTTGTGAAGATGTAACTCTCGAGCATGCAACATATAGTTGTCCATGAGAAAAGACAGGAGTTGGGATATAAAGTCCAAGATAATTTATAGTTTGTCTTTGAGATTTGTGGATAGACATTGTAAAGGCAAGCTGGCATGAAAATTGGCAATGCTTCAGAACAAATGATAGTGATACATTAGTGGGAGATAGTGTCATTCTAGGTAAAAATACTCTTTGTCTAATTAAAGATCCACTTAGAGGTTCTGCTTCTATAACATGTTTTTGAAGTGCTTTAATAATTAACTTTGTCCTATTGCAAAGGCCTTCAGCTATGTTGATATTATGTAGTAATACAATAGGCGCACCAACTTTAAGTAACAATATATGAGGCAGTAGATCACTAAATTTTAATAAATTAAGAAACTCAGTTGGATAGAGTACTTCTTGGTTAGGATTATATATTTCAGAGTTTTGATCTATAGAATCTGCACTATAATATGTTGTTTCTTCACCAGAAAATTGAAAAAGTACTTCTGAGTTAAGTGTGTCGACCTCTTCATTCTTTGGAGCAAGAATTGCTCTCTTAATTAAATATGCAGCATTTTGATATCGTATTTGTAGTTCTGGAAATACAAAATCAATTAATCCTTGAGAGCTATCACATTTAAGTATAATTTATGATGGTAAGGGTATATAATTGGTATCGGGTATAATTTTGAGAATACATCCTTCTCCAAGTTTTAGTAGCCAGTCAGCAAATTCTTTTTGGGCATCTGTATCTGAAGAGTCATGCATTCTTTGTAAGTGCATGTTAATTGTTAATTTTTTTACTTTAACATACTGCCATAGCCAAGAGTGACTCATACTTGCATTAACAATATCTTCTTGTCCACCTTTTGGAACTACTGGAAGGACTTGTCTAAAATTGCCGCCAAACACCATAATTTTACCACCAAAAGGTTCATTATTACTTATGATATCTTGCATAGTACGGTCTACTGCTTCAAAAGCATAATGATGTAACATTGGAGCCTCATCCCAGATAATTAGTGTTGCTTGTCTGAGAAGCTCAGCAAGGTCTGTTTGTGCTGATATGTTGCATGTAGAGTTTTCATTAAAATTAATAGGAATTTTGAATAATGAATGTGCTGTTTGACCCTTGAGCAGTAATGCTGCATTTCTAGAGGAACCAATAGCTAATGAAATTTTTCCTTGAAAACGAATCTTTGCTAATAAAATTGAATAAAGAAAGGTCTTTTCAGTGCCAGCTGGTCCATCTACAAAAATGCATATAGAGTTATTTTGTTCAACTGCATGTAAAATATTTTTATATATGTTTTGTTGGTCACAATTCAAAAGTTTTTCATTTTGGTCAACAAATTCAATAAGTATTTCGTGAGTATAGTTCAACTCATTTGCTATTAAGGAATTTCTTGTTTTGTTTATTGTAGTAGGAACTGGCATATTGGGAAAATCATTCAGAGATTTTTCTTGTTGTGTTAAGATATTATTTAATAAACAAAGGGCATGATTCTCAATTTCTTCTGTTAGCTAAAGATTCTGATTTTGTGTTTCTTGTCGAGTTTGGTATAAAATGTTATCACTAAGAGCAATTTTGTGTTTTGCCCAAAGACGTTCAGGTTTTATAGGATAACAATTAACTAAAATGTTTGCAAATAGAAGCCGTAGTTGTTGTCCAGTTTGTATATTTGATGCTTCATTAAGGCATTGATCTCATTCTAAGTCATGTTGAAGAAGATTTATTTTACAACATGCACCTTTGAATGTTGGATATTCAATACCATTTACAGTACGCAGATGTTCGAATAATTGGGCCCCACTTACAATATTAAGGAGCATGCGTAAGTAATAATGTTCACCTGCATCCGGATGTCAAAATAAAGACGCCCAATAGCATTTTTATGTTTACACAATTTCCACTTCTTTGCTTGCTTATCAAAAACAAACTTACATGGAAATTGTGCATATGTATAGTTTTTTGCCAGATCTGATAAAAAAGGATCACTATTTGCTTGAAACCATGCTGTCAAGATCGTTTGTTGATTATTTGCTCATTGTAAGACTATATCCAATGCTTCATTATCTGAGAACATTATTAAATGTTGGTTTGGTAAATGTACACTTAGTCTAATAACATCAGATGCTTCATTATGCATTTTATAGTGCATAATGTACCAGAAAGATTCTGATGCTGATACATAACAGGCATCTAGGTATTGTCGAATCTCATTTACTATTTCAGACTTGTTTGAGCCAGCATTTAAATTTTCATTATTACTAATTATTATAATTGCATGATCATGCCTTTTGTAAATGTATTTAAAAAGGTATTTCACTGCCCGAATGGAAGAACAAATCTCAATGTTGATGTGGCAATTGAACTTCTTGCAAAGATAAAGATTATGTGGTACAACCCAACGGTTGTGCAATTGAACACCTTTGACTTCTACAGTCTGACTGTTATTACGTCGCTGATATATAGGGTATCCATTTTCATTTTCACTGGATACTGCCTGAAATGGTTTAGGAAATCCTTTTGAACACCTTCCATTTTGCATACATGGTGCATTCATGTTTAGTAGACCACAGGGCCCATGCATCATACTTTTAATAATGGTTAAATATTCATCTGGATACTTATCTGGATCGGGAATTTCAAAAGATACAATGAGATCGTAGTCATCCATAATACATAGTTTGTTTTCATCTGCAAGCATTATGAGCATATGTGCATGTAACAGGCCACACTTTTGTGCTTCAATAACATAGATATATGCTGTTACTTTACCAAAAATTCCTTTTTTTAATATATCATTTAGCAAAG